GGAGAGAGAGAAAATTGGAATGTTGGAATATTTGTCTCTTTTTCTTTGCGAAGTCGAGTTAAAATTAGCCTCGAATCGATTTAACGTGAAAACGTTTAGTTCGAATCCAACTATGGATGGATCTGTTCCATGGTCTCTGGATTATCTGGTAAAGTAGATTGCGACACGGACGGATGAGATACGGATAATTCCTACGTACGATACGATGAATTTAAAATTCTTTCTTTGTAGAAAAGGGATCTAGATCGATCAGTGTGATGCCGCCATGTTCGTTTATTAATATTTATACGATGTAAAATGAGGAGAGAGAAAGAGAGAGAGAAAAAAAACACGAAGAAGGAAGAGACTAATCTTCGACCACCGCCTCCCCCTCACCCCGACTCGTTGAAAAGAGCATCGCCTCGAACTTTCCCTTCGTCAAAAGCGGGGAAAATGGAGGGGAAGAGGAAATCATGGAAGCGTCCCGTAGCGAGCATTTATCAAGGTTGTTGGGAACGGGACAGGCGTAATCGTTGGACGGGGGATTGGCGCGGGCCCCAATAATCGATGGTTAATTGGAAATGGCATTTCTCAAGGGAGATCCTCTCGCTACCGTGCGTCGAATGGCCGCCTCGTATCTAAGCGAAATGGCCACCGGTGGCCAATTATGCAAATCCCTGTTGGTGGAGGGAAGGGATATTAATCGTTGGAATTGGAAACGATTAGCCGAGTTTCGCGTGAGCTGTTCTTTCGATTATCGAGAATTTTCTGTTCGAGTACGAGAATCGGGGAAAGAAATTGGATCGATCGATCCCGTTTAATTACGCCATAAAACCGCGAAACTTTTCTTTATCGCGGTACTTGTTCCTCTTCCTCTTCTTCCACTTTTTTTTTATCGTCTTCTTGTCTTCTTCTTCTTCTTCTTCTTCTTCTTCCTCCTCTTTTTCTTCGTCGTCGCTTTCTTTCGTAGGACGGGCTCTCGAGGCGAGCCGATCACTCGTAGCGATTACCGGCCTCGCGCGCTCTACGCTCGGCTTGATTTACGCGCGCCTAATTAAATGAATTAGCCACTTGACACCGGTGTAAATTACGGCCTGATCGGGGTTCCTTGTGTTTATGTATGTTTGGATAGTGTCCGGCGTGAATTCGAACGGATAGCGGAATTGGCGAGAGAGGAGGGAAATTCTGAAGGTGGAATTTTGAAAATTTCTCGGATAGAGGATAATTTACTAAGAAATAAAAGTTAACGACACTTTTCACATGTAATCGTAAGAAATTCGGGAAAAAATAATCATCAGAAATAGATATATTTGACAAAACAGATACGAATGAAAGTTTACTTAAGATTTGATAATCGGAATGTTAATGATTAAAATTCGTCCAAATATCGTCCGAGAGGAGAAGAGATTGTGGCAGCCACATCTGTGTTGTTTACGGTTATTCGCAATTAAACGGTGCTCGAACGGCTCGGGCACCGTTACGATATTAACGCGGATAATAATGGACAGAATCGTAGGTGGAACAAAGGCGTCCTTAATGGCCGCGTTTTCCTCCCGGTTATTATTCGAGGCCGCTATTAACCGTGCACGGTTCATTAACATTTATCGGCGACGCGACTGTTGCGTCTCGCCGATGGCTATCGTTTAATTGGGGTCAACTGATTAACTCGCGTTTAGACGAGCCATCCGTGTAAGACAGTTCTCGAGGGTGAGGGAGAAGAAAGAAGAGGAAAGAGGGGGAGGCGGAGTCCTCCCCTCCCTTGTTTTCCTATTGTTCGCCGTTGCCCGCTAATCGATCTCGTCATCTCGACGTCATCCGTGTTTCAGCAACCCTCTCCTCTTGCCGAACACACGTCCCCCTAATTAATCGCCGCGGATGCCGTGTACTCGGCTCGATCTCGATCGACGTTAACGGCACCGTGAAAACGATCCAAGTCGATCGGCCGCACTTTTGCTCGGCCGATTCGCGCCATTAAGCATGGCTGGCTGCACCCCGCCGCGATCTTTGCGCCTCCTCGTTGAGGAGGAGGGGCGTTGCTCGCGATCACGCTGCCGATAAAAGGGTACGGTTTTGGTATTTAAGAGACTTTCCAGCGTCGAGAGATATTCCTCTAGTCTAGGAGCTGGAATTATCGAGGTTTATAAAGTTTGTAAAGATTCGAAGGTAGACGACGGATCGACAGGTTGTTTTTTCGTTTATCGTTCATCTTTCGAGTGATCATCTTTCTCGATCGAACACGATTTTCTACATTTTAATGTAATGTAACGTGTGTCGATATAAAGCGGCGAGTATTTCTCGTTCGCGAAACTGAGTGAATCTCACGAAACACGTCCATAAAATATCTCTCGATGCGGGAATCGAGAAACCGTTGAGCCAAGCGCACCGCTAGAGCCAAGAATTAGACACGGACCAGGTGTCTGAACGCGACAGGATCGTTAATTTTCCCGCGCCGGTTCAATCGGCTCCGTTTCCAATCGTATTTCGTATACACGCCTTCCCGCGTTGGAATGCAGCCATAACGATTGGATTTTTGGGGAAACGGTACCGTTACCGCGTGTCTTGGAAGGTCAGCCGAGGAGGTTGAACGAGCAGGTGCAAACTCGCGTCGTTAATTTCCTCCGCGTTCGATGCATCTCGTCGATTTTAACAATTTGATTCAATGCCCAACTCCATTGGACGTGAATACAATACGATGCGATGGATAAAAATGTTTGCGTGATTCGATAATTTTCGAAATGATATTCGACGCATAATCCTACATTTCGTTATTACATTCTGAACACTCTTGTCACCTCGATATATTCTTCTTATAATAAAAAATACGAAGGGGGTTAACTCCAGTTCTTCTATCAATTTATCAAACTTGGATCGACCCATTCA